GAGAGTTGGCGATCACAGAGTTGATAGTAAGAGAGTTGGCGGTAGAAGGGAAATAATATATAAGTAAGAAAAAAATATAAACGTTAAAAAAAAGAGAAAAATCAGGAGAATGGTTGGACTTACTGTAAATATGTAAACGTGTAATACATAAAGCAGCTATTGTCTGATTATGAGTATTTAAAAAAGTGTTTTCTTTTTACAAAACTATCAAGTACCTGATTTCTACAATCTGACCATGTGTGTGTGATGTGTGTGTGATGTGTGTGTGTGTTCAGGTGCTGCATGTGTACAGATCTGCAGTTCAGCAGACTCTGGATCTGCTGTTTGTAAATGCAGGACGAGAGTTCGTGAGCAGCACTGATGCCGTCAGTCGAGACTCAGCCGACCGAACACTCATCGTCTGGGACTTCCAGACCAACGCCAAACTCTCCAACCAGATCTTCCATGTAAGAATCACTGCTGACGGAGAGGTTCTGAATAATCATCCGTATGCTTCCATTCAAAGATGTGAAGTAGATTTATGCGCCACACTGTCATATCACATTAAACATGATGTGATCGCGTCTTCATCAATGATGCACAGTAGAGCATCACCTCCTCAGCTCCTGCTGCTCCTGCACTGATATCACTAAGAGAAGTGGAGTCTGCTGCACTGTTGGGATTCTCCACTGTGGTGTTGTTTCTCTAATAAATGAGCCTCAGTAGACCAAGACCAAACACAATGAACGCGGTGAATACGGTGGCTTCTGAAGGTGTGAGACGGGAGCGCAGACAGATGCTCAAGACAGTTCTGGAGGGAATAATAATAGAAGAAGAAGAATACTGAAGCACTGAATCATCAGTACTGACAGTGAAGTACAGCAGCTGTTCTCCTGTGTTATAGTTTGTTTGTGTGTGTTTTACAGGAGAGATATACCTGTCCCTGTCTCACAGCTCATCCGCTGGACAACAGCTTCATCGCTCAGACCAACGGAAACTACATCGCACTGTTCTCAGACCAGCGGCCCTACCGCATGAACAAGAGACGCAGATATGAGGGACACAAGGTCACCACACACACACAACACATATGCAGATACACACACATAGGTACATACACACACACACACACACACACACTCACTCACTCAGACAGACACAACCAGTTTCACACATAATCTGCTATCTGTTGTGGTGATTCTACAGTTGCTTTGGTAACATGACAGCTATTATAGTAATTAATCTGTTGTGGTGATTCTACAGTTGCTATGGTAACACGACAACTATTAGAGTAATTAATCTATTATGCTGATTCTCAGTTGCTATGGTAACACAACAACTATACTAGTTGATCAGCAGCAGTGTGCTTCAGAATATACAGAGTGATGTGCAAGTCTCCTGTCTTTATGTGCACCATCATATTCAGTCAGGAGTGTGTGTCAGCTGTCTCTGCATGTGTGTGTGTGTGCAGGTGGAGGGGTTTGCAGTGCATTGTGGGTTCTCTGCAGACGGCAGTGTCGTGGCCTCTGGGAGCTCCACCGGTTCTGTCCACTTCTATGACTATCAGAGCTCGAGGACACTGAAGACACTACAGGCTCATGAGGATGCGTGTGTGTGTGTGGAGATGCATCCCATAATCCCTGGCGTCGCCGCCACCGCAGACTGGACTGGTCAGATCAATCTGTGGACGTGAGGATAGTGAAGAACACTGATCCAGGTTCAGCACTGCAGTATATGATGTAGAACTACACACTGCACAGTAATCACCCACTGAAGATGTGCAATGTTACACTCCACGACTACATTACAGCGATCACATTTACACACCATGATCAATCACTGTGCATGTGGACAGACGTGAAGCCTTCAACTAATAAGAAGCACAGGTTTATTCAGGAAAGACAGCACACATATAGACGCATGCGTGTGGAAGCGGCCGAGCAGACTGAGGTAGAACAGAAACACACAGTAAAGAGCAGCTGATACAGTCATGCATTTACAGTCTTAAACACTGCTCCAGCTCACCTCCATCTTAATAAAGCAGAAGGAGACGGTGTTCATCACAGTGTCTGAATGAGGAATGATGTGTTTAGGTGTTCCAGGAGTCATTTCTCTGATCAGATCTGTCTGTATTTAGTACATTGAGCATTTACAGAATTATTCTGTGTGTCGGCGATGTGTTCACATTCTGCCAAATAAAGCTTTTTTACATTGACGACTATAAGAACCTTCTAGAAATCTACATTTAAAAGATGCTGCTTTCTTCTAATAATTCAAAATACCCACATGAAGAAATATTACAGTAATTTATAGTTTAAAACATGATGTGTTGTGGTGATTCTACAGATTCTACAATGTAAAGCTACAACTACTATAATAACTAATGTGTTGTGGTGATTCTACAGATTCTACAATGTAAAGCTACAACTACTATAATAACTAATGTGTTGTGGTGATTCTAGAGTTGCCATGGTAACACTACAACTACTATAATAACTAATGTGTTGTTGTGATTCTAGAGTTGCCATGGTAACGCTAAAACTACTATAGTAACTAATGTGTTGTGGTGATTCTAGAGTTGCCATGGTAACGCTAAAACTACTATAGTAACTAATGTGTTGTGGTGATTCTAGAGTTGCCATGGTAACACTACAACTACTATAGTAACTAATGTATTATGGTGATTCTAGAGTTGCCATGGTAACACTACAACTACTATAATAACTAATGTGTTGTGGTGATTCTAGAGTTGCCATGGTAACGCTAAAACTACTATAGTAACTAATGTGTTGTGGTGATTCTAGAGTTGCCATGGTAACGCTAAAACTACTATAGTAACTAATGTGTTGTGGTGATTCTAGAGTTGCCATGGTAACACTACAACTACTATAATAACTAATGTGTTGTGGTGATTCTAGAGTTGCCATGGTAACGCTAAAACTACTATAGTAACTAATGTGTTGTGATTCTAGAGTTGCCATGGTAACTCTGCAACTACTATAATAACTAATGTGTTGTGGTGATTCTAGAGTTGCCATGGTAACGCTAAAACTACTATAGTAACTAATGTATTATGGTGATTCCAGAGTTGCCATGGTAACACTACAACTACTATAATAACTAATGTGTTGTGGTGATTCTAGAGTTGTCATGGTAACTCTAAAACTACTATAGTAACTAATGTGTTGTGGTGATTCTAGAGTTGCCATGGTAACACTACAACTACTATAGTAACTAATGTATTATGGTGATTCCAGAGTTGCCATGGTAACACTACAACTACTATAATAACTAATGTGTTGTGGTGATTCTAGAGTTGCCATGGTAACACTGCAACTACTATAGTAACTAATGTATTATGGTGATTCCAGAGTTGCCATGGTAACACTACAACTACTATTGACCTTATTCTAAAATGCGGAAGTGCGCCTGTTTTCGCGATTGTCTTAGAACTTCCGATTCAGTCGCCTATGGGAGAAATGACTAGGAATAATAAATGGCAGAAAATGGCCAAACTACTTGCTCAACAAACAAATGTTTGCATTACTACACAGACCAAGTAGCATAATATAATAAGAAAATATTAAATTGCAACATCAAGCAGCGTAACGAGCAGTTGTTAACGTCAAAAAATGAATGAAAGTGAATGTGACCGGAAGTCGCGAGACAAAATGATTCAAATGGCAGCGCCCGCTCGACAGCTGAGAATAAGGTGAATAGTAGCTAATGTATTGTGGTGATTCTAGAGTTGCCATGGTAACACTACAACTACTGTAGTATCTCATGTATTATGGTGATTCCAGAGTTGCCATGGTAACACAACTTTAGTACTATAAACAAATCATCCAATACTGTAGTTTTCTACAACTGTAGGGTATATTATACTACAATACAGCTTAAATATACTGCAGTACTGTTTCCAGTTAATCAGTTTACGAGTGATAATATACTACAGTGTGCTGGAGCATTCTTTAACAAACAGCTGTAGATACCTTAATCTACTTTACTATGCTATGGTTAAAAAAGCACTGTGGTATTTACTATAAATTACTATAGTATTTGTTTATGTGGGCTGGTTTAGATCTACATCACACAGGCGTGTGTGTGTGTGAGACTTTCCATCTTGTGACCCTTCAAATGATAAAACACACCTTGAATGACAACAACTACAGGAAATGACATCACTGTAAGGGTCATCAGGAGCAGACTTCAGTGTAGTGTTGCAGTGTGTGTGTTCTGGGATGCTCAATTGTCTGGTCTTATAGTAGTGAAATATAAAGGTAAACAAGTGTTGTAGACATTGCACTGCTCTTCTTGTGTATGCACAGGTGTGTGTGTGTGTGTTTACATCTAATATAAGTTCAGTAGTGCAAGAAGCTCCTCCTGAAAGACACACACACTGAAGAGACATGGTAGGCAAAGGAAACACTGATCTACAGTCAGTCCTGCGGAGCACAAGTGAACATCTTTACACACACTACATTCCTGCTCTGTCCTGTGGAGAAAAACAGTTGATGGTCAGAAGAAACTACAGCTTTCGCTAGCAGAAGCCCTCTGCTGTAAGAGCACCGGATTAATGATTATCTGCTACACTCGTCCTACAGATTAAATATAAACAGATAAATATATGTTTACAATAATACATATGGTTTATTTACAGTTTAATTGAGAGTCTGAATGAGTAGTTCACCCCAGAATATCAGCTCTGTCATTATTACTCTTCCTCACGGGGTGTCTGAGCTCATCTTCAGACCCAGATGAAGATGCTTTAGATGAGATGCTGGAGCTCTCAGACAGCGCTGGAGTGTGTGATGTTGACCTCCTCCAACTGACTGGATTTGGGAAATGATGGCTGATTTATACACACTTGCGCTAATACATTCAATCCACGTTCAGTTTCCTAAACTCTCAGGAGACTGAAATGACATGAGGGAGAGTAATAATGACAGAACCTTCCCTTCAGATGAACAAACCCTTGACACACATGAGCTGCTCTGTTGTGGAGGGTTTACGGAAGATCTTCGTTGTAGTTGTCAGTTCAGCAGCGTTCCATACAGCTGTGCTTTCGTCAGGCTGTCTTTCCGACTGAGTCCCGTGTTTCCGATCTTCTGAAACTGCGGTGTGTTCTGTTTCTGGGGCTCCTTCTGAAAGCGCTGGACGCCCAGACTGTGGTTCAGTGACTCTGCTGAACTGCTGCGACTCTCCTCTGCGTAATCTCTGCGTGAAGCGTCCGCCGTCTCATCATGGGTGTTTTCAGACGTGAAGAATCTTCTAGTGGATCCCTGAGCGCTGTCTTTGGAGCGGATCGCCTGTCCTCTGTCGGTCTTCAGTCTGATCCTGGTGTTCAGCGCAGGACTGGACCCCACTGATGCGGAGTAATGCGGATACCGCGTGGCTCCGTCTCGGACGCTGTCATAAAGCGGACCCGGTTTGATCTCGGGATCGATGATAAAGTGGCGCTCGGAGAAGCTCAGCGGTGAAATGAGGCCAGGGCTGCAGATGGAGAAGCTGTTGATGTCCTCCATGCTCATCCATCCGTCCATCGGGTGGAGACTGCGGAGAGTGCCCCCTTGAGGAGTGGATGACGGCATTCGATCTCCGTTCTGGAAGCTGCTGGATTTGAGGAACGTCGGGCGGTCCTCTGGGTCTCCATCGTGCCAGTGTGTGTGTAACGTCTGCTGGGATGT